GTGTACGGAGCCGGACGAGCGTAATTCTTGAGGAAGAAACGCGATCAGTCATCGTACGCTGCATACGACACTGTGCCGGCATTGTACGTTTCCATGGCACCTTAACGCCCTTTGTACACCACCAGCGCTCGACCTTGACAGTTTGAGAGGCCGTTAACGGGCACGGAATATATCTTTTGTGTCTCTCCCTGCGAAACACAGAGACGGGCACGAGGAGGCACCGCAAATATGAGCGGCACAGAATGCCTGCAACGAACGCGAGCGAATACGAGCTGGCTTGATGCACTGCCAGACAAGCCAAACAACCAAACGACATTGGGCAAAAACAGCCACCCCCGATCCGAGCAAGGGGAAATACCAAACACGGCACGAGGTAGCGAGAATCGAAACGTAGACGAATAAAAGAACGTGAAACCACGACCCCGTCCAAATATTGTATCTTTATTATTTTACTGGTCCAGGCCAGACCGGCGGCGCGCGGCAGCTCTTCACGAAGCGTGCTACCGCGCGCCGTCCAATCGGAGCTCGCGGTGCAATTCTTTACCATATTTGGAAGTACGCCACGCCTAGCCGCCGTCAAAAGCCGGTGGACTTGACGTCAACAATCAAGCACGCCGAAGGCATCCATCGGTCGCCTGGACCTCCGGCGAAAACGGTGAGCCTCGTAGAATATTTTCTGCGAGTTGAAGAGATCCAAACTTGCCGAAAATGGCAGACCGGTGGTGCCGAATCGCGATTTTCGGTTCCGCCGCCGGCGACCGTGTCGCGTCGCATTTTGAGGTCGCCCGCGTTCTCTCTCTCAGTCGGGCGACGTCTTTCCTCCTCGTCCCCGACCGGCGCAGAAACGCGTTTTGGCCGGCGTCTGCTCCCGCGGCTTCTTGTCTCTATTCGGCGCCGTTTGGGAAACGCCACTTACCCCGACCCCCTTCAAAAACGCCGGGACCCAACTTTTTTCTCTTCCAAATTCTTCCCCGGAGAAGGTAAGCCCCCGAAAGACCGCTGCACGGTCACCTATTTTTGAATATGCCTGCCGCGAAGAAGAAATACTGTGCGTTGTTTCGCAATAACGCTTTTCGTTTGACGTCTCAGCAACCGTCGTCACCTCATCTGCCAACCAGCCTGAGGAAAAAAAAAAAAAAAAAAACAATACCGGCTGCTCGTCTAATCGTGGAACTAGGTGCCTTCCACCATCGCTACCGATTCTAGCCGGTGCAGTGACGATTCTTTTAACGACCGGCATCTTAGGCCTAACAGCCTCAACAGTCTTGCTGCGGTATTGAACAACGTCCACCGCGCGTCAGCATTAGTAGTTACGATGGCGTTTCGTGCATTTATTAGCGCGCTTTCCGAATCTACAGGAACTTGTGAGTTGCAACGTGTATTGAATGCCGAAGCGAAGCGTATAATGCAGCCGCCGGGGACACAATGAACCAGATCCGGCGGCAAGTCGAGGTGCTACCTTTTTGTTCATTATTTGCGACTGCTGCGCCGATTTCTAGGCATTTTCACCTGCGCCACCGAATAGTTCACATTTTCGTGGTCATTGTGTGATTGACTTCATTACACAAGACGTCTACTGGCGGTGCACGCCCCTTCGTTGTACCGGCGAGTCTGACCTCCGCCCCCCCCCCCCCCCCCCATGAGCTGCCAGATAGATACGATGTACTGGAATCTGCCTGCGATAAGGAAATGCTTGATTATTTCGAAACATTGCGCGATTAGTGCAGTGCCTCTTAAGGCTTGCCGCGCTACCAAGAGCTTGCTTTTTTTTTTTTTTTTGTCTCTCTGGTGCCCGATGCTTGCCGGTTGGGCACGTTGAGTGTATCCGCTCAGTATACGTAAAGTGGCACTTAGAACAGTCTCACCATTTTGACCGTGTGGTTAAGAAAGAAAACGGGAAGTTGCATTCGTGAAGACACATTATGCTTGCGCCACAGATAACAGGTTGCCGTGCAACTCCATAGACGTTTTCGACTTTTCTTTAATTAAGCCGCGCTTGCTTCGGTGTTAATAAAACAATTTTCGTGTAGTAGACAAGTCAAGGGTCGCGTTTTGCATTTTCGAAATAAGCCTCTTTCGTTGGCAATATGCATAACTAGCGTGGTTCAACTCGGATGAACGCTCTGCTTTTACTACTTCGAAATGGAATGCAATTAACATTTGCATTTTATGTGATTGCGACTGTACGTAGAAGAGTCAAAAGAAAAAAAAGCCAACGCATTTTTTTTTTCGGCGGAAATAGGTGACACGCGAACGGGATGCATTCCATTCTGCTGCGGCCTTTATCTGTTGCCTCCTCGCGGATCTCTTATCTGATGAAAGCCGCTTACATTTCGCTGCAACGGCCTCTTCTGCGGAAAGGTTGGGGTGTGCCCCCTATCCCTACGGGCATGTGCCCGCCCGTGCCGGGGAGGGGCGGTTCAGGGGGGATGCGTAAAGATTGGTTCTTGCTGTTCTCTGACGTTCCCCGTAATCGCCCAAGGAGCAGGGTTTTGCGACAGCGCACGTTTTTGTTGATAATGGCGTTGGGAGGCCCCTCCCGATGCTGCATTCCAAGAACTGTTTACTCCCCATCTTTACTCCCTTAACGATTGTTATAGCGCAGGTTCAGAACGACGACAAAGGGACAAGACGAGCGCGCTCGCCGTCTTCTTGTCCCTTTGTCGTCGTTCTGAACCTGCGCCATAACAATGGTCATGCCATAGCAACTAGCCCAAACCGCTACGCTTCTAATTTACTTCCCCAAAAGCGAGGAGTTATTCATTGCGAAGCATGTTGCTAATTGGGCTCGACAAATGGGTTGGGGGAGAGGGCGCTATTGTACTTTTTCCTAGCCTCTATGCAAGACCGTACCCGTGATTTTTTTTTTTTTTTTGCGATTGGTGGGGGGCGGGGTATTGGCAGAGCGGCTAACTTTGACAACTGGAGGCCAATGTAAAGCTAAAGCATGAAAATTTTCGAGGGGTGTCAGCACCTCCTTAACCCCCCCCCCCCCCTCCTAGTTACAGCACAGCTCCTGCGCTGGCCTATGGGCCCATGTAACGCGTACAGCCTATGTAGGCCGTAGTAATTCGACGGTTATTAAAAGCTGGACTTCACGCACGGCTTGATGGTAAAAGTCCAAGGGTCGAAATGCAAAGAAGCCGCGTAGCGGGAACACCTTTCCAAGTTTAACGTAACGTTGCATTGCGTCAGTGTGGAAGGTCCACGAATGAAACTGGTTTGTAACCAACTACGAGGAAAAAGGTACGAAAAACGAAAAAAAAATATAGCGGTCGTCGTTGACTACCAATGACTCCTCCGAAGGGCTAACGTCCTGATGACGTCATCGAGAAGGAGGGGGAACTTATTAGTTTGCCGAGCGCTTCCTCGTCGAGCGAGCGGTGCTCGCGGGGTACGTCGGAATTCGTGACGTCATCGAACGCGGGGATGGGGGGGCTTTTGTCTTCTGATGACGTCACCTCGAGACCCTTCGGCGACGTCATGTCACGATTTAGTGAGGATGTCTCCGTACGAATCTGCGGAAACGCAGTGATCTTCTAAAATGCCGGCACTTGATTTTATTTTTTTTTGTCCGTACATGACATTGTATAAGATGAGGAAGCTTTTACACAACTTTGTGTGATATATAATGGAGTGGACCATTGTGTAATGTATAAAAACGTCTAGTGAAAACTTAATGAGAAAGCACTTATTGCATATTTACATGTTACAGTGGAGGTATACTAATGTACTCATATGATCGATGTAATTTGTAATTTAAACTTGAATTATGCCTGAAATAAAGTTTCATTATTTTTATAAAAAAACGAACTCTACAAGAGGAGTAAAATGTAGTGAGTGTCGTCTCACATTTTTTTTTTTCCCCAAGGCGTAACTTTTTCTGGGCATTACATGGTTTTAAAGCCATATTTGAAAAACTGTCGCACGGCGCTCGCTCTTTTCCTCTGGAGGAACGTCGTGCGTGAAAGAGTGAACTTGGATGCTAAAAATTTATTTTGTTTGCATTGCTGCGAACTATTTTCACAAATATCTCTGATAAGGCAACTCCGCTTTTGAAACAGAAGCGTGCAACATTTACCTAGGTGGATCGTGTTGGGAACCGCTAGTTTTAAACGAAGAAAATTTTTGACTGTTTACCGAAGGTCGTTCTATGCGAACGTGGAGGGGGGAGGGGAACGATTAGATTAGATATGTGGGGTTTAACGTCCCAAAACCACCGTATGATTATGAGAGATGCCGTAGTGGAGGGCTCCGGAAATTCCGACCACCTGGGGTTCTTTAACGTGCACCCAAATCTGAGTACACGGGCCTACGGGGGAGGGGAACGCATCGACAGTTCAGTGCAGTAACATATACAATGTTAGCCGTGCGTATAAGCGTATCAGTTTTAACAAATATTGGGTCGCATCCATTCAGCCACCGGTCATGCGAATTTCAATGATCGTCGATCCTAATGTAGAGCTCACCATTGACAGTGATTATTCATCTGCCACCTTTGACGAAATGACCGGTGACAAGGGGCAGTGGCGCGCGGATCGGGGACAGTCTTTTATAGATTTCACCGGTATCAGCTGTTTGTCGCTGCTTTGATGACTGCCTGACACTAGTTCGTAGTCACAGACATTGTTAACTCGGAGATGCATGCATTAGCTGCGCTTTAAGTGCATCTGGAAAGACTGCGACGCCCTCACTCACATCTATTGTCCTGTTGTGTGCTAACATTGAAACGAGTAGAACTACCTGTACAGGTTATAAAATGTTGGGTGTGCTAACACGGACGCAGCCAAAACACACCGCCGCTGCTTGTGGTGTGCTGACTTCTTTTTAGCGTCCGTGTTTTCACGCCGTACTTTAGAATGCTTACCGACTAGCCCGGCTCTGTATTATTCAAACGCATACACTTTAAGCTCGATTGCGGGTCGTGTGACAGCCGTCTGGTGGGGAAAACCAAACACACTGCTCTGAGATGCGTTATGCGAAAGCTTACCCTTCCTTACCTTACGGTTGCTCATCCGAGTAGGCGCTCTCGTTCGTTTGTAGGCGTTGGGTGCAGGAGACAGTTACCGCATTCGCACGCGAACGAAATCTGGTCGTGGTAAAGTAACTATCGGAGAGCATATCCAATAGACGAGACCCACACGACTTTCCGCGATTTCGTAGCGTTTCTCGTTGTGAACAGTCCCGGGCTAACCAGCCTGCTACCAAACTGAATAGTAAACTATACAAATAAAAATGCCAGGGGCGTGCGACTACCTCAGCTGCGGAGCGAAGCGCAGAATTTTTCGAGAAGTGACATCGACTGGAAGCAGACGATTTCTGAGGCGCCGGCGCGCCGCCATTTTCGCCGCGAAAAGAGAGGGCGAGGAGGGTTTGGAGCGTTGCCAGACGAAGCGTGCCGGAACGCGCCGCGCTCGGCTTAGCGGAGCGTCGGGGGAAGGGGAGAGCGCGGCCTAAAAACGGGCCGCGAGCCAACGAGCGTTGTTCGGCTCGCGGTAGCGCTTGCAGACCGCCGAGGTTTGAAACCTGTTTAACGGACCTTTTTTGAGCAGCCAGGCGCGTTCTAAACCCGGGTCCCTCCTCGTCAGTGGTGCGGCAGCCCCACCCACCCTCAGAGCGCTACGAGCGTCCATGGCCAAAATTGGGTCGGCGAGCGCCCAGCCAGTGCGTGTGGCTCGCAGCACCCGCGAAAAGCGAAGCATCGGCGCTCATTTGTTCACCTACTTTCTCGATTCTTTCGAAAGCCACCCTTGTGTCGTGCGAAAAAAAAACAGTGTTTAAAATTGCCTATGTCGCACTTTTCAAGTGTTTTGTAGATTTTTTAGCGACCCAGTGCTCCCGTTGGCGTGCTACAAAGAAATGCTTTCGTAGTTTTGTTCTGTACGTGTTTTATTTCCGGCCATATTTGCCTCTGCCCGCACTGTCACCGTGGTACGCTTTCGTAGTTTTGTTCTGGACGTGTTTATTTCCGGCCATATTTGCCTGTGCCCGGACTGTCACCGTGATTTCTTTGCGGTGTAGACACACTGAAAGCACGTGAACGTCGGACTTGTCTCTAAAATAGGCACGCTACAAGGAGGGCGAAATTTAGTTGCATTGATTGTGATTTCCCCTGCACTGTAGTCGCCCTTTCACTGCGTAGGCACGTCCAGTAATTTGTTGCCATTTGGCTTGTACTACTACTACTGATCTTTCGTGAGGTGGCGTCGATGGGGCGATACTGCTCTTTACGATTAGTGTATATACGCCGACGTGTGGCATTGTCGGGTGGGGGATCGAGCGATCGCAGCTGTATTGGGGTCGACATCTGGCACTCGGCGAACGGGCTTGTTTATATCGGCATCTCGCAAAACACGCTGTAGAGCGCCGTGATTTATGCCATGTCACGCAGCTGTACACTCTGTGGGTGCGCGCGCGTAGTTACCGAAACGCTGCGAGGCGAGGTGCATCCAGATTTCTAACTGCAGCACCGAGTGTGTGTGTACCGCGGAGCTGCCTCGAGACCCGTCACGCTTGTCTAATTAGTCTTTTGAGGTGCGGAGGTGACGCGGCATCACAAAACGCATCGCTTCGTCGTTGGCCTGGCAGATGGCGTGAGGTGCTTGCGGGGGACCGCTTTTGGGGAAGTCTATTTTGGATTGCGAAGTGGCTGGGGGAATGCGCTGCTGTTTCACGAACGGAGAGAACGTAGTTGCTTGACTTGGAGGTTATTGGAACATGAGAGATCGCTTTCTTAGCATTGTCGTTTTATGTAAGTGCGCGCTTTCTTAGCATTGTCGTTTATGTAAGTGCGCGCCAAAACGGCGCAATTTTGTTCCGGCATAAGAATCAAGCAACGCGTCCAATGATTGAGGCATTGTTAATAGTGGCAGCGCATGCGTGAGCCAACTGACTTGCACAAATATGAAATGGCATGTCTTGACAGTTATATTTCAAGTAGAAGACCCCCAAGCGTGCCGGATATTGCATGAGCATCCGCTGACAAGCTTTGATTAATTGACATGTAGGGTTCAACGTCCCAAAACCACCATATGATTATGAGAGACGCCGTAGTGGAGCGCTCCAGAAATTTGACAACCTGGGGTTCTTTAACGCGCACCCAAATCTGAGCACACGGGCCTACAACATTTCCGCCTCCATCGGAAATGCAGCTGCCGTAGCCGGGATTTGAACCCGCGACCTGCGGGTCAGCAGCCGAGTACCTTAGCCACTAAACCACCACGGTGGGGCACACACAAGCTTTCGTACCTTTTTTTTTTTTTCGCAGTTGTGCGCATGTTCAATTAGTCCGCGTTGGTCTTGTAGAACACAGTTAATCATCTGAAACACGCGGAATTTGTCCGATCGAGTTAGAATAATATCTGGCGAGTTAGAATAATATCTGGGTTCTATTGTCCCGAAACGACGATATATGGTAAAGAGGGACGCTGTAGTGAATGGCTCCGAAAATTTCGATCACCCGGTGTTGTTTAATCTCCACCGCTCTCAACCAGTTCGCCTCCATCTTAGTGCGACCTTCGGGTCAGCAGCCGAGTACCGCGGCGGCGGACGTACTTGGCACTCCGGATCCTTCCTCTCGAATGCAGGCCTCGGAGTAGACTCCATCATTACCGTAATAATTTGATGCTTTTTAATGGTGAGGTGACCCAGACTGCTCGTTTTAGGTCGGCGCTTACACTGAAGACGTTAGCGTCCCGTGACTGAAAAGCAAGAATAGCCTTTGAAGTTGCCCGCGAATTGTGGTGGTCAAAGCAAACGGGGGAATCTACCGTGGGAACGGCGTGTGTCAGTGACGGACGTCTCGCCAGGCTCGCTTGCGTAGTTCCTTTTTTTCAGCGCCACTGAAAGATGAAGCCAGCTTCGCCCTGTAGCGGTATCATGCTAGTACGGAGCTGTGCAGCCTTCTTTGTTTTCTCTTGATTTTTATCTCCCTCTTTTGTTCGGTTTTTGTTTTTTTTTAGATTCATGTCTACTTTTATTCTTTTCAACTTACTTTATCTCTTCCTATTGTCGCTTGCTTCACTTATTTCAATTTTTATACGCGATTTGCCTCTCGTGCTTCGCTAGCTATAGTCGTGAAATGTCCGCACTTAATATCATCATCATCAAGGCGCTCGTAGAACAAGAGGAAGAAGACCTCTTTTAAGCGTGATCGCGTTCTCAATATGTTACATGTGGCTATGTTATACGCGCATTTTGCCTGCGCTGCGCAAAGAGACGACACGGCAGCCTACGATCACATCATAGGACAGCCCGGCCCCCTAAAGAGATCCACACTTGGAGAGGGAGGGGGCAATTACAGACTGTGGCAATAATGTGCGTCTCGGTATATCGAGCCAGAAATTGCACGGGGATGGAAGCGGTGAGTTTTGAGTACCGCTCCGATACTACGTTGGTCTGACCTGGCGTTGCTTTTGTTGCTGGGCTCGATGTTTCCTGCGCTTTTTTTTTTTTTCTTTCTGTCATCCGTGCATGAAGCGGTGGTCGTTTGGAGTGCGATTAAGAAGAGCTGGCGAAACGATCTTCTCTCTTTTCCCGAGGAGCCACTGTGGAATGTCGGTGTCGACGGGAAAAGAAAAAAAGCGTCAGGAGATGGCACGAGTGACACAGTTTCCTTAAGAAACCATAAATTGCGAGCTTTGCCTACATTTTTCTCCCCCTTTTTTCTTCTTTAAGCGTCTGCTCCAGACAGAAGCAACGTCGCTGGGAGGAGTGGGCTTTCAAGGTTGCCAGAAAAGATCGCTCGTTGTTTGGAGAGCAATTTCTCCGCCGGGCAGGCGTTGTTGCGTAATGAGAACCAGCTAGGATACACCGACGTCATTGCCCCTTGTTTTTTTTTCGTTTTTTTTTTTTTTTGCAAAAGAGGAAAAAGAAGTGCTGATGACCTCTTCGCGTGTTTGGGGCAGTTGTGGCGCGGCCGTTCTAACGTAACGGGTCAGTCCTTGATTGTAACCCCGCTCCGTGTCGATGTTTGGGAGCCGTGAACGAAATTCCTCGCCTCTTGCCCACGTGCCCGCGCGTCGTTCGAACAACGCCTGCGCTTCAGAACGGAATGCTGCGGAGCAATGCTCGGGGTCTTCGTACTGTTGGTGCCGACAGCTGGCACCGATCTCCGAATTCCCATCGTAGACAGGCCTTACCTTCGAAAGGATCATGTTACTGTGGATCGAACTGCTCATGCGCTGAAAGTAAATGTAGGTGTCGGCACATATCGATTCTCGTCGCAAATTTCGATTTCACATATACTCAGAGGGAGAGAGTGTGGTGCGATAACTGAAAGCTCAACCGGAGGGGTAGGGGTGGGGGGGTCTTCATTTTAATGCAGCTCTGCTGTTTCGAAATGGAGACACAAGCGAAGGAAATGCTGTGCTATGGCGGCTGATGGAGCGGGGTTAGTTTTTGAGTCAGGCGTTGGGGCAGTCGAGGCGCTCTTGTGTAGAATTAGCTGCAGTACCTGGACCAGCATCTCGAGGCAATAAAAAGTCGAAATGTGCTGCCAAAGCTTTCTTTTCGCCGGTGATGGCGTCGTTGTACCCTATTTGAGAACCACTGCTCTAAGGAATTTAAATCGGTGTGCAAGTCCATGGTGTCTTAAGCATCTAAATCGAGTCGAGAAGACGTTCAGTGCACGCATAGCCCGTTGCTAGGTGTTGCGACAAGTTCGTTGTATCGGCATGCGTTGCTTCGCCGCCGTGCTCCCGCGGTACCTCGACCTCGGCAAGGTTGGCGATCCCTTCATCGTCGCCGTCGTCGCGACCTCCCCTTCCTCCTCGACCGTCACGGCGGGTGTGTTGTTCTCCGTGCTAGCCGCCTTGTGCAGGCTAGGCGCGGGGCCGTTATGTGGGAGTGAACATGACCGCTGTTCTTCATCGCGGTTATTGTTGTTCACCGTCTTCCGAGGGCGTATACACCTATTGCATGTTTGTAGACATGCTGGGGCGGAAATAGACATTTGGCAACAGCCGCTTGCCTTGCAGCTACTTCGCGGTGATATAAGGATACAATAAAACCAGCGGCCGTTGTTATGGTCACCTATATCGGGTGATCTCCTTTGCTCGGTCATGTCGCTTGCCCGGCACTTCTCAGATCGCGAGAGGCGTGCGCGCTTCCTAACGTGGCAGCGTCATCGGCGAGCAAGGCGAGACGATTGTTGCTGTTCCGATTGTTGCTTTATAGTCACGTTAAAAGTTGTCGACGCCGTTGGTGAGTTCTTGCGACGGGCACTCGCATCGAAAGCTGCGTTCATCCAGCTAGATAGCGGTCTTGTTTACCGTCCCATTGTTTCGAAAATCCTTGCAGCATGCAGCGAAGATTTTGAGGCTGCACGTT